TCAGGCAATGGACTGGAAATTCAGGTGGGGCAGGGTTTCTTCCTTGCAGTCTTGAGAACTACTTCTGCTTTGGGGAGCCTTGCTCTTTGCTCTTCACACTGTCAGCTGATTGGATAAAGTGCACCTGTGTTATTGACTGTCGTCTGCTTTACTCAAAGTCACTGACTTAAATGGTAATTTTACCTTTAAAATTTTACCTTCACAGCAACATCTAGCCTAACTTTGGACCAAACTGAGCACTGCAGTTCTAGCCAAACTGACAAATAAAATGAACTGTCACACCTTCCTATAAGATAGTCAATATAAAAGGAATTTAAACCTATTGGCTTCTTCTGTAAAACTTTCTCTCTAAGAGGAGTATAACTTCCATGCCTTTGTGTACATGAATCCCTCACCTACCCGATGTTGAGCTCCTTGGAGGTAAATAAGAGCACATCTATTTAGTGTTGAGTGGAAAGTTGTATTGCATTTATACCCATCAGAGTGTCACGTCTGAGTGAGGAGGAGTTCAAAATAAAAACGACAGAACAGGCTCCAGAACTAGAGATTCCTGAAATCAAAGTATTTTAGTTATTTGTTTCTCAAATACAAAATGGGGACAACTTTTTAAAGTGATTATAGATTTCTTTGGAGACTTGGCTCTAAATTCATCTTGGTCTCTTCCAAAATTTGGCAGACTTTACTATGCTATCAGGCGCCATGCTAAGCATCTTGTGTGCATAATTCACTTGACCTCTAAACAACCTCACTGCTCTTCTACATCATTATTAGCATCATTTCCCCAGTTAGCAAAGGGCATAGAGGGGCTTAGTCCATTTTAGCTGCTCCGAGAAAATACAACAGATTGGGTACAATAGTAACAACAGAAATGTATCACTCACAGTTCTGTATGCTGAAAATCTGAAATAAGGTACTGTCGATTCGGTGTGAGTTGAAAGTTGGCTTGCCTGACGACTCCCAGGCAGACTTGAGGGAACAAAGGGAGGAAACTTTGTCCTCACATGGTGGAAGGGGCATGGGAGCTCTCTGGGGTATAAGAGTAATAATCTCATTCATGAAGGCTCTACTTCATCACTGAATCACCTCCCAAAAACTTAATCATCGCCTAAAACTATTACCCTGAGGGCAAAGATTTCCAGATATGAGTTCTGGGGGAACTTGAACACCCACTCTGCATGAGAGAGGGTAAGTCCTGTGCACATGCATATAGAGCTGGGTATGGCGATGGGGATGGGAGCTGAGGCTGGCCTCCCTGCAGAGTGCCCTGGCACGTCTGTGATTCCTTCTAATCTCAAAGGTCCTCTCTCCACCTGGTAACCTGCATCTCTCCCACAGCCGGTTCCCACCCTTGAGTCTCTAAGAATCCTTTCTGAGGTGCTCTGCTAGCTGACAGGGGTGCAGGATGGTGGTGCCATTTGTGTTCTGGATCAAGGCAAGAGAGAGAAAGAAATCCAGCCCTTGTCTCTTGGCACCTGGTGAGCCCTGGCTCCAGTTTGTGGCTAATGAGGAAGGCCGTCTAATTGTAACTCTGATACCAAGAGGGTCCTTTCCCACACAACACGCCTAGCGGGTAGCTGGGCCCTGGGACTGACTGCTCCTTCCTCCAGGCCCCAGCGGCACAAGTGTTCAGGCAGGTTGGTCTCCTGCCTCTTTACTAGGTAGTGGCCTACTTAGGGTAAGAGCCATGTCTTAGATGTCATTGTATATAATCTGGTATGGTATTGTCATACTTTTGCTTGAGGTTTATTGAGCAAATGGATGGAAATATGATGGGAGGAAGGGAAAACCCTAAGGGTATTTTTTGAAATTGGCAAGATCATTTCATTCCTTTCTTCATCCATACAGCAAATCTTTATTGAGCACCTACTATGTACCAGTCACAGCATAAATGGTGGAGCTATAGAGACACCAAAGATGTTTTTATTCCAGCTCACAAAGATAGACTCATTTATTCTTTTCCACCACTTTATAGAGAAGGGAAGCTACAGCCTTACAGCAAACTAGCTCTTTAAAATACTCTTCTGTTTCCTGGGTTTTTATGCTTCCAGGAATTTAGCTATTTAACACGCCCAAAACAGCAATTTTTATGTGCACCAAGGGAAGGAGTTGACAAATACTGACATCCGCAGAATGTGGGGAAACCCAGATTTCAGAGTCCGTGCTTCTCAGCACATTTCCCGTCAGTTTGTTTTTCTGAAGCACCCACTGCACTCCACCAGGACTGAGTTTGCAGGAACTCGAGGCAGGGTCCTTTCACTTCCACAGCAGCAGTCTGCACCCCTCCGGAGCAGAGGCTAGAGCTAATTGCACCCTGGATTGCCACTGAAAGGAGGCTTGTGGCTCAGGGGTAAGAAGCAAAGTGTGTTGGCTACCCTATGCAGTCCCCAAGGGGCTCGTGCTTGGGCCCTCTCTAATGACTTGGATGCACTAGTGGAATTTTCTGGACTCTGGAATTCTGATGTTGCCTGCTGTTAACGCCACCACAAAGTATTCCTTGGATACTAAATGCACAATATATTTCTCAGTATTGTTTTCTTGGCCATTAGGTTGTGTCCATTCCATTGCACTTGCTTAATTTAAGAGGCACCCGCTGCCCACATCTTTAGGGAGTAAGGTAAACATATAATGAAACATTGAGAAACAATGTATGAATCAGCCACGCCAACAGAAGCCCGTAGTTTCTCTTACTAAGTACAAATCTCTAAAAATGGTAAAATGGATTTGATTTGACATTTGTGGTTTTGTAAGAAGAGGAAGAAACTCAAGTTAGCACCCTTGCTCTCTCTCACCATGTGCCTTTGCCTTACTCTGACTCAAGTTTTTTGTTGTAGCAACAGAATATGGACTAAAAGCTACATTCTTTCTCACCAGTTTGTCCTAAGTGACTTAACTAATTGTTTTCTCAGGACAGGAAAGACTGGATGAGCAACGGAAGAGTTAGGGGTTTGGGAGAAGGTGGCGGAAAGGGTCTGATAAGGGGAGTAAAAGTAACCTTTGCTCTCTTCTCCATGTTACATAAGGGTTTTAATATCTAAACAGCTTTGCTATTATTTTGATATTTTGCTTATTTGTTTTTTAAATAGTTATCTTAATGGTGTGAAGTGGTATCTCACTGTGGTTTTGATTTATAGCTCTCTACTTATTAGTGATATTGGGTAAACTTTCTTGTTCTTTGTTTTCCTTTGTTTTTTTTTTTTTTTTTTTTTTTTTTTTTTTTTTTTTGGTACCAGGAATCGAATTCTGGACCTTGTGCTTGCCAGGCAGGCACTTACAACACTGAGCTATATCCCCAGCCCTAACTTTCCTGTTCTTATTGGCCATTTGTTTACTAAAATCCTTTGCATATTTTTAAATTGGATTTGTTTTATTGTTGCATTTCATGAGTTCTGCCTATATTCTGGATATTATTGCATGTATTTTCACCTGTTCTGTGGGATGCTATTTTACTGTGTTGTTAGTATCTTTTGATGCACAGAAGGGTTTTTTCTGTTCTGTTTTTTTGAGACAGGGTCTCATTGTGTAGTTCAGGCTGGCTTTGAGTTCACTATGTAGCCCAGGCTGACTTTAAACTTGCAGTGATTCTCCTGTCTCAGCCTCCCTAGTGCACCAACACGCCCAGCTCAATACACAGAAGTTCTTAAATGAGATCAGATTCAGTTTGTCTACTGTTTTGGGGGCCTTTGGTGTCATAATCAAGAATCATTTCTAATCCAGTCATAAATCTCCTTATGTTTTCTTCCAAAATTTTTTTATAGAGCCTAATTTCTTTTGTATGTGGATATCTAGTTTCCTTAGCCCCATTTATTGAAAAGACTCTCCTTTCTCATGGCATGGTCTTGGTTCCCTTGTCACTTGGGGTGTGTGTGTGTGTGTGTGTGTGTGTTTGTGTGTGTGTGTAAAATCTTTAGGCTTCTCTTTTTATAAAATGGTATTATCTACAGAGATAATTTTACTTAATTTTTCCAGTTTAGAGACTTTTTCTCCTAGTGCCGGGTAATGAGTTCAGGGCCATCTCCATGCCAGGCAAGTGCTCTGCCACTGAGCCACACTGCCTATGACTGAGGCTTTCTTTTTTTTTTTTTTTAATTTTTTTTTTTTTTTAAATTTTTTTCTCTGGTACCGGGAACCGAACTCACGACCTTCCGTTTGCCAGGCAAGCTCTTTTGCCGCTGAGCTAAATCCCCAGCCCCGACCGAAGCTTTCTATCCTAGGAATAATTGGGGTCTGGAGAGGGACAAGATGGGGAGAAATAGATGTTTGCAACACATCTTGCAGACAGAGTAACAACACCACCAAAGAACGAATCGAATGCATTGGCTTGGATTGGGGTTGGAGAGAAAGAAGAGTTAAGGATAACGTCTAGGTTTATAAATGAATCAACTTGCTGAATCATTTGCTTGGGTGCAGAAGATGAGGGAGAATAGGCTTGGGACAGGAAGAGAAAAGCTCTGTTTAGGTCTTATACTTGGCTATAGTTGTAGGTGAGGTACACAAAAACAGGAGAAGGGCAACGGAAGAGGTCCCAAGGCAGATCTTTGGGGAAAGTTCACATTTAGAAAATTGGTGGAAAAAGAGGTCCCAGAAAAACAGAAACAGTTTGAGCAGTAAAAAAAGAACAAGGTGGAGTTTCAAGAAAGTATTCATGGTTAACTGTGCAGACAAGAGGGGAAGGAAGGTAAGGACTGAGAAAGGACGTTTCGCATGGGTAACAGGGAGGTCCTTGGTGACCTCTGCAGAGAGGTTTCAGGGGAATGAGTACAGCTTCTGCGGGTGCGGGTGAGAGCATGGGGGAGACAAGAGCACTCTGAACACCCCCCGATGCTGTGCACTAAGACGGTGCTGCTGTTACCCTTATTGTGGAAACAGAAAGCACTTAGGAGAACTAAAAGCCACTTAAAAACTCTGTCTTTAGCCCATCACATTGCATTGATCTTGTGTGAAAGATGCTGTTAAATAACCAAACAACAATAGCAGAAACCAGTTATGAGAGGGCAGGGAAACTCATCTCAGAGTCCTTTCTTTTAGAGATTGTCCCTACCGGAAATCTTTCCGTCTTCTTAAAAAGGAAGCCGGCACCAACCCCCACAGCAACTCTACAAAGCCCAGATGACCAGTGTCGATTAAAGTTCCTTCTTTTCTCCCTATTGGCTGACACTGTTCATAAAATATAATTTGTTGCTCCACATTTCTTTTACATGAACAAGCTGAATAAATTGGAGGAGAAAGACAAGAGAGATAGAGGAGACAGAAGCCACAGCATCTGAAGGGCAGGAACTTACAGGTGGGCATTTTAACCTTCAAGAATTGTTGAGAATTGTGACTTTTCCCTTTGTAGAGGAATAATCTGTGAACAGAGAGCTTATATTGTGCTATAAATGTTTTTCTACCATACATGTGGTACTTTAAAAATATTGAGAAAGCTCCAAAAATAGAAGGAAGTAAAACCACAACCAAGATAGCTCTTATTGGTATTTTGGAGGTATTTTCTTCCATTCTCTGTGTGTATGTGTGTGCATGTAATTTTAGTTTGATTTTAATAGTTGCATCCATACGGTAGAGAAGTTTATATCCATTTCTTCCATCACAGCTTATGTGTTATCCCTGTTGCTCTGAAGATTTCATAATCATAATTTTAAAGTGCTGTATAAGATTGCATTGAGGAGATTTGTTCTATGCAAGCATTCTTCTATTTTTGAACCTATAACATCTTTCCTAATTTTCATACTTCAGTTTATTTTACCCTATAACATGTATTTTTTTCCACGTAGGATCTTGCTTTTGGGGAGGAGAAGTTTCAATCTGAGAAATGTACATTTCAGAAGTGTAAGAGTGTGAATTCATGATCTATTCGTTACCCTATAGACCCCCGTCAGGGGATCTCAACTCTAGCAACATATTCAGCCCAAGAACACTTGAATCTGAGATTTAAAAAAATTGTCTCGTGAATAATTGAAACTTAACATGTAAGGATCAACCAGTCATTTGTAGTTTTTTTTTTTTTTTTTCCCCCAAAAACTTCCCAGATGGTTTTAATGTTGGTCAGCATAAAAACAAGGACCTAAGTTATTGGAAATATTTTCCTGTCTCTTACACATACTTGAGAGCAATATGTATTAATAGCAAAAGAGATACAATTTCAGGCAAGCCACCCAAACTTCCCTTTCAATATTACAGCAATCATGTAAATTATAGAGTAAATTTGTGGGATTCATAAGACTCAGAAATTTCTGTCACCTACCTCAACCACACAAACTCTTAAGATGAGAATCTGTTTCAGAGTTTCAGTTTGCTAATGCTTTAAGGAAGTGGATTTATTTTTATTGCTGTGAAAGTTAGTGAGCGAACTTGAGGTCATAGAATGTTCTAAATGTATCAAAATTAAGCCAAGTAGCTGACTTCTTTTCTTTTGCAATTGTTTTTAAGATCAAACATCGGGCAGGTATTTCATAGTCGGCCAATCACAAACACAGCATGGGTACAGTAAAGACAGGCAGGATTTGGTTTTGAGGCAGGAGGTGGCTTGTCCTGGCTTTCGAGGAGCATCACAGAAATGGTACTTACTTTCCACAGACACTGCGTCCTGGTATAGAAAGACAGCTTATACCAAGGCTGTATTCTCGCTTCTTCCTTCAGGCACTGAGAACAGACAAAAAGCTGCTAAACTAAGTTAAAGCAGTTGCTCTGTATTCTTGTCCTACACTGGGATGTTCTTATTTTAATTCAACCTAACTTGATCAGTAGTGTGTTAATTACATTTTTTTCTTGTTTTCATTCCATGGAAGAGGGCACCTATTTGTTATCTTTGATGAATAGAAACATTCACATAGTACTTTGCTACTAAGGAACATGTCTGCACAGAGTTAATTTGATCTATGCGGCAGCCTCAAGCTCTGGAAGGTATAATTCTTATTTTAAACGGTAAAGATGAAGCCGGTAGAACAGGATCTTTCCCAAGGTGATCCAGAGAATCACCTGGCCAAATTGGGTGGAGCACAGGGCCTATAACTCTTTCCCTACAATTTGAAGAAAAGCTCTTGTAAGAAGTTGATTAAACAAGTTTTGTTATGACTACATAATTGGGCAATCTTTAGCTAATTAAGTGATGACACTGACATTTATTTCTTGAAAAAGAAAGGTGACCATGACACAGTGAAAAACCAGGTACAAGCAACATTATAATATGCACCCATTTAAAAAAAAATATTTATGTGTATTTGAAGAAAGATGATGCGTATGTACAAAAATTTAGGTATGTCTCCTTGGTGATAAAATTTATAATTTACATTTACTTCAGTTTATATAACCCTGTGTTTTTTACCCACAAACAATCATAGTCATGTAATATAAATGTGAAGTAAAGTAAATAGAATTGTTTATGTCTTTCTGGTTGGCTCTTTCCCAGATGAAATGGTCTCAATTCCTTTCACTTGGCACAAACAAGCCTCCTCTTTAATTCTCTGCGTTTTATATGTTATTGTCCCATATGGTATTGTGATTATTAGCTGGCATTGATTAACCACTTCACATGTGTCAGGAACCAAGTAAGTCATGTCACATCCATTTTTGTCTTTGATTCTCACTTCTGTCCTCTCTTGACAGATAAGAGTTTTAAAGCTCAGAATGGTGAAGTAGTTAAAGTGACCAAAAGACAGAACTGAGACTTGAACCCAGGTCCCTTCTAACTCAATAGCACATGCTTGCATTCATTATAGCGTCCTGCCTTCCCATGTGCTTGGTGTTTAAGAGGAATTCTCTCCACCACTAAACAACTGCTTTGGAGGAAAGATGATATACATTCATTGCTGTGTGTCAGGGTCATTTCAGGAACTGCTATTATCTTGATTGTGTTCCAGACCTGAGGATTTCTGCTTTTCTAGTTTACCTTGCACAGCATGATAAGCACATGAGTCCCCTCAAAACTAAGCTTGTGTAATAAAAGTCCTCATAAAAGATTGTGCAGTTACCCTGATAACTCTGGCCAGTGCAGAAGCCAAGCTGATGCAACTAAAGGGAACCATTTTGCTGCAGTTGCTCAGTTTTGCTAGAAAGTCTTTTTGCATTCATATCAGAAACTCTAGTACTTATGCTTTTCTAGGGGAATCAACCTCTTCCTTTTTATGTTGAGGTTACCGTGTTTATGCACTGGTCTTTTCCCTGCTACTGGATGAAGGGTCTCCATGGTTGGAGTCCTTGCATAAAACCCAGTACATGGACTCCACTGAGTGTGTGTAATTAAATTAATTCATCAGGGAATGTGGACTTTAGTTACAGCTTATATTTATCTCTGTTGAGCTTTATTGAGTTTTTGTATTAATTAACCCATGGGGGAAAGATAATATTTGACAGTATCTAAAGGAAAACCTCTCCTATTGGACAGATAGGGTGGCTCCTTTGAAAAAGATATCCAGTTATTAACTGAAAGACCCATGATGAGGGTCTGGTTAAAAAGTTGAAAATAAAAAATTACAAAGTTGGAGGGGTTCTTAGGAAGAGTGATCCCAGGCACAGAACTTCTTCACCTTTAGTAGAAAATCCCAAGTCCTTGAGAGAGAGAGAGACTTTAAAGAAGTAGGGGAGCAGACCCCAGGAAGACAAGAAGGGAGGACAGAAAGGAATGGAGAGGAGAAAGGGAAGGAGTAATGAGAGGAAGAGGAGAGGAGAGGAGGGGAACCTCTTTACTCTGGAAAGGTAAAGATTAAATAAACTGGGGAATTTAAAAGAACTCAACCCACCCTGATTTACTCCACCGCACACTATTAAAAGAGATTATTTTTATCTTGAAAAAAAAAAAAAAACAAACCCATTTCCCATAGGAGTCTCCTCCCATTAGCCTGGAGAGACAGCATTTGGCCTCATTTGAGCCTCTCATATAGGAAAAAAAGTCTAAAGAGTACTTGAAACTATCATGGATTGTGACGATTGGTTAAAACAATTTTTTTAAAATTTCAAATCTTACCTTAATAACTCTGTTCTCTGATAAATTCTCTGAGAAACTTGGAAGTGGCTGCCCTTGTTAGTTGTAATAGGTACAAATTCAGATGTGTTGGCACACAACCAGACAATTTGCTGCCCTCAGAGACATAAACAGTGCCACCTCTTACAGGCACAGAGCACTATCTGGGAACATTTTGTGGTTCCTCTTGCCCCCATCCCTATGTTCCTCTTCCTAGACCTTAGATTTGAATTTTAGAGACAGAAAATTTGTAGAAAAAAAAAAAACACTAACAGAGTTTCACTGCGAAACACCATTGAGAAAGGTCCCAGAAAATATTCATCATGAGACATAAAGTGAGGGTGTTGTACACTGGCTTCATTAGCTCCCACAGTAGTCATTTATCTGAGCACACTTTTGTGCACATGCTGTGCTCTGCCCTAGAGGTGCAGTAGAAGACCAGAGAAATCCCATTCTTGACTGCTGCGGGTGAACCTTCAGTGCTGGGGATAGAAAGGAGGCAACCGCTGCCCCCTGGGATGAGTGGGGCGGGGTAGGTGGGAACCTATGGGGCTGGAAGTAGCCACGACCTGCAGGGATCGTAGACGGCCTTTTTTGGACAGAGTGATGTTTAGGAAAAAAATTGAGATTGAGTGAAAGACAGTTATGTGATGAGCTGGAACTCAAAGTACATATGAGCTGTGATTGAAATAAAAAGTGAATGTTTAACTTAAAAGAATCCATTTCAGTAACAGATACGTTGTCATAATCCCCCTAAAAATACTGCCCCAACTTCAAATACATGTATCCCATCATTCATGCCACTTCCTGAAGCAGCTCTGGAAGTTCTCTTTCATGAGTGTCTTTACAGGTGTGGTAATAATTCAGTGAATGATGCTGCTTCATGCCATGCAAAAGAAACGCAGGCTCATAAAAATATTATCACTGTCCCCATCCACCTCTTTCACCAGATCTGCCACCATGTGACTTTTGGCTGTTCCTCAAAGTCAGAATAACCGTGGGAGGCAAACATTTTTAGTTTCAGGACACCGAGGCAGCCACGAGAGTGTAACTGAAGGTCACAAAAGTGGACTTCCAAAACTGCTTCAGAAGGTGGCAAGAAAAATGGGATAAGTGTGTTTGAAATGAAGGGAAATATTTTGAAGAGGACTAATCACAATATGTCCTTTACTTCATGTGTCAGAGCAAATAGTTACATTTTGAACCAGAGCAGGACCTGGAGACCCCCAATTTCTCTCACTGGGGATTCCCCAGTGACCTCCCTTTGGGACAGCCTTTTAATGTTCACCGCAACTCCCAAAACTACCACCCTGCACTCAAAGCCTTCA